AACCTTTAAATTTTAATGGATCCAACGGTAAAAGTTTATATAAACACTGGTATTTTTATCTTAAAGATCGCGATAGTTTTTTTTCGTAAAGGATGGGAACATATATACATTGTATAATATTATTAAAATTGAAAATAAAATGTTGCATAGCCGATTTTTAACCTAGAACCAGTTTTTTCTTTTCTACTAAACTCCACCTTTGTAGGCATATTCTCTTTAATTTCAACTCGAACGTAGTGCTTCATAATATTGAAAAAATATCAAATCAATATATTTAATTTTGTGTATTACAACACTTACTCTCCTTAAATTGAGTTCGTTGTATAACTTGGTTTTTTTCGCAGCGAAAGTGGGGTAAGCTACAAAAATAGTCAACAGACTTTCAGGTATTTCATATTGACATAATTTTACATTTTTTATATATTTTATTCATTTCTATTTATCTATTTTCAGACCTATCTTAAATTGCATCAAATACTCAAGGAAATTGTATTTAAAACCCCATTGAATAAAATTGTTTTACTGATTGGTTTTACAAGCCCAGACCTCAAGCAAGCCACATTTTTTTTTGTTTTTTAATTTATTTGCCTTTTTAGGCAAATCATAGACAAAATGGATGTGATGATGACGAAAATTGATTGTCAAGGAGCAGAAATTTTTTGATTAATAAATGCACCAAACCAAAGAAGGTCTCAAAGAAGAGAAGTCCTCGAAGAATTTAGGCAGAACAGTTTAAATGAATTAATTTTGCTATTTGTTTACAAATCGCACAGTTTCCTCATGATTATTTAATCATTCTATTTTTAAGAGACTTTAATATTGCTACCAGTTTACATAAAATACTTTTTATAATGAATTTGAATTTTTTTCAATCAAAAAAGTATCACAGAAAATATTTGATCAGACTCGTTGGGAACATCAAAAAAAAAAAAGACTCGCAAAACTACCAAAGGCTCGCAAGCCCTATTTCTTGCAACAATTCCAAATAAAACTTTCACTACCACAAATATAAATCATATTGCTATCGGTTCCCCGATTCGATTGCGAGAGTATTGTCAGGTAAAGTCTGGCACTTCACCAGTATGCGATAACATTTGCTACAGTTTGGTCCGCTGGGTCTTTTTGACACTCTTTAAACACAATCGCAATTGGGCTGTGACGTAGCTGTTAGTTCAGTGTTTTCCCTTAAATAGTCCAAATGTTAGTATTACATTAAGGTACGAGGCGATTGCAATTAGTTTGCTCGTATGATGAGGGAACGAGTTTATTGTTTTTAAACTCTTGTAGACATCTTGGACCCCATAGAGCAGATAGATTTTAGGTTTGCATCAACAGCAGCGTTGATTTAGCTATGTCCGCCTGCATGTTTCTAGTAATATATCAGTTTAAAGCTATCGTCTTGAAACATTATATAGCTCTGTCTCTCGGTTGCAGACAGTACAGTATGTCGGAGCCGGCTGGGTCGGACCACTATATCATATTGCTGTTATAGGCACAATCGGTCTAAAAGAAGGTTCCTGCATAGAACATTTTTGATTATCAAAATATTTCTACAACCTCGGCCAACAGTTTTACTATAATCCTCGATTGCCTTAGGAACAATCGGTCGAAGAGAAGATTCTGGAATGGAAACATTTTTTATTTGAATACTTACAGTGCAGTACTAACAGCACGCCGAAAAACGAAATTTCGTGCAGTGCAGTACTAACGGCACGCCGAAGAAAGAAATACGAGCAGTGCAGTAACAACGACACGCCGAACAATTTTGAGCAGTGCGCTAACAGCGGGACGCCGAAAAAAAAGAAGTTTCGAGCAGTGCAACAACACTCTGAAACTCCAAAAAGACGAACGGCCCAGAAGACCGAATTGGCAGAGCCCTGTAGAAGAGGATCAAAGCCCATCCAGCAGGAAAATTCTTAAAGAAAGAAGGAAAAATTCTAAGCGGGACATCGGAAAAGCAAGAAGAGATCCAAGCAACTAAACGACGCCTACATCCATCGTCAATAGGCCACGAAGTACAGAGAAACCAACATATTGGCGACCATTAGGTAAAATCTTGTCCCAAGGCCTCCAAAAATGACGAGCGGTCCAGAAGACCAGACTGCAAAGGAGATGGACACGATCCTGCTGAAGATGATCAAGGTCCACCCAGAGGGCAGACTCTTCAAGAGTTACACCTCCCACTACCCACTTCAACTGCGCTTCAAACGTGAGTCCCAAGCAAAACATCGTGTTAAGAAATTCAAAAAATTTTATATTACAAATAATTTTGTTACACACATAAAAATTAAAATGAAAGTGCGACCTATAGTGCACCCATGCGAAAACGGCGGCAAGATCGCCTCGCAATAACAACAAAAAAATATACATTGTTAATATACATACAGTGCATTTAGGTCAAAATTAAAAATAAAAATCATTTTATAAAAATACTTATGCAAACAAAATAAAATAAATAAGAGAGAAGAGGGCAGATGACTCGACAGTCAGGTTGAGAATAAATTTTTAGAGGAAACAATAAAGAGAAATAAATATTGTTGTTAAAAAATGAATGTCAAAGCGATATTATCTTCAATTGGAAGGTTAAACGCTAGAATTCGACGTACAGAACACGGTTGAAGAGCTAGCAAAGTAAGTTGTCAAACAAAAAACAAGGGTTTCCAATAAGAAACAGAGGAGCTACCAATACTCCCGGAAATGCAGGTAACAACCTTTTAAGGGGATTCCAAAGAGTGGAATCTCTTTGTCGAGTTATTTGCAGAGTTGCTTCAATCACGAGAGGATTTGTGCCTAGTTCTCAAATTTAATTATTTAATGTTGAATTATTAACCAAGCCTAATGAAAACAAACTGAAGATATTTTCCGAACAATTAAATAGTCTCATAGAGTTGCCAGTACTAAACAGTGATTCAGTAGAGCACACTAAAGGATTTATTGATTCAATTAATGGATTTCATTTCATAAAATTGAAAACGGTCTTAACAGAAGACGTTGATGTCATTTTTGCACACATGATTATTTGCAAGTTTTATAGAGAAACTTTGCAATCATATGAAAATTATGTGAAAAGAACAAAAGAAGTTCAAAAATTTGTCCAATGTAATGGAGTACTTAGAGCAAAGGTTGAATGCTATAGGCCCATCGAAGGATGGGGAGACGAAACCAAAACCCAATAGAAACTTTTCGTTGCCCAATTGCCCAATCAGCAAAGTAGCAGGGCACTATGCATTACAATACTTTAAATTTAGAGGCATGAACAAGTGCTTAAAACATTGAAGTGCCAAGAGGTGCACGAGTGAAGTTGTATGTGCAGAATACAAAAAATCGCATCACACAATGCTTCACTTGGAAAGAAGCAAAAGTGTGAACACATGCATGGCTGAAAGGCACGAGCTATCAGCATCAGCATGTATCATCTTAAAATCAAATACCTGGGAAAACGAAAAAAACGGGCACTAAGTGATGGTGGGTCGCAAACTACAACCATATCTGAGGAGACACAGCTTAAGAAAGGTTATAATAATTTCTTAAGAGAGTATATGAACCAAGGAAATATGGAGAAAGCAAAGAAAGCATACACAAGAGTGGTGTACGATAGCGGAAAGGACAACAAACGAAAAGTGGTTAAGATTGAATTATAGAATGTAATTTCCACAAGATCAGTTACCAAAGCGGCAAACAGGCACATGACAAACAAGTAAGAGGTTCTAGTCGGGAGCTCCCGACTAGGGAATACCCTCCTGAACCCTCTTATTCCAACACAAACTAAATTAAAAAAAAATTTCCTTCGGCAGGGTTCGAACTCGCAGCTGACCGCACCACTTGCTATGCTTCTACTCAGCAACCACACCAATGATCAAGTACTTATGATCAAACAAGAAAGAAGTTCTAATCGGGAGCTCCGGACAAGGGAATACCCTGAACCCTCTTATTGCAACACAAAATAAATTAAAAAAAAAAATGGCGAAAATGCAGTGACAGCAGACCTAAAATAAGACACCTGTTAGTATATTAGACCTAGGTTTCGTAAGAATAAGCCAGTATCTTACCAGAACTTAAACCGAACTGCCTAGTTACACCAACTGATGGTTAAAATTATCAGTGTGTTACAGAAAAGGGTGTACGACCTTGAATCAATTACAATTACATCACACGTGAAGTAGTAGGGCAACAATACCCGAATTTTTACTGCTGGTGGAAATCCAATTAGAGTTTATTCCATCCAATCTATTTCATATTTTTAAGGTCTCGATCTGCAGAAAGCAGTAAGCGCAAGTATCAATTTTACAATAGATTTAAACAATGCACTTGTATAACATTGTAAAGAATTAACTATGAAGATGTACGCTATGCTTTTAAAAAAAATATGGAGATATATATGGTGAATATAACGAAAAGTTTTGAAATACTTGTTTAGCGTGAATCTTTAAAACCTGGTAACTAGTTTGCACAAGCAGGCAGGCGCTGGCTATATCGCCAAGTATAAAACAAATATATATAACAGTACTAGTCGGAAATACCCGACTAGAAGACTTTTATGCTTTTCGAGATCGACGAGTTCACACATACGTAGGTCTAACCACTAACAACATATGTAGTTTTGTTAGTGGTCTTACGTAGGTCCTCCTATAGCATTATACCCAATCAAAATGGATTCGGGGTATAAAAATGCGTGTCTAATTTTTATCAAATGGGTTGAAAATGTCATGTTTTTGGCGTAACTATTCTTCATTTAATTTTTATAAAACTATGTTTATTAGACCTCAGACGATGTATATAAAACCATTATTATTGTATTTAACTTTTAAAAGGTTCTAGACTGTCATAACCCTATAGGCTGGGAACCACTGTGTATGATAGCATTTAATTTCTTATTAGTAAAATAAACATACACTTCTCAAAATTTTCGAGTTATAATTTCGAATTTTGGCCGTGTCTAACCCGATGACCCGACCACTAGACCAGACTTACATAACGTCTGAAAGTTTACATTAACTTACGCCTGTTGCGATTCGTCCAAAAAATTTAAATTCTTCCTGTTGTCTCGTGCATTAATCAAAAGAGAGCAGGAAAGTAGAAAAGTATCATACAGTTGCTGATCTCGGTAAGATGTAGCTATCTTTCGATTTTTTGAAAATGATAAGTTAGCATCTAATTCCACAATTGAATTCATTTCTGATACCAGCTGTGAAAGGATTTGCACGCCGATCGTACAATGCTCAACTGAACCCTAAACATAGAAAATATTAGAATAAAAATCTTGATGCAAATATTTTAAGTATTTACATACCTGTAAGAACTTTTTCACGTCCTCAAGTATGTTTTGGAATATAAATTCGCCCTTGTATGAATCAAACCACCCATATTTTGTGATTTTAGCTAGAAGTGTTACAAGCGCTTGGACTACAAAGTGCTGCAAATTAAGTCTGGTTGCCAAGTAGTTCAGGGCATAGCTGCGAATATCAATGCGTTGTCCAAGAGTTATCCCCTGTATAAGTTTTGTAAGGGTAGATGCGGCAAGTAGTTGTGCGTAGCTGGAGTCAGCTCGATCTAATAATAGCTGACACTTGGATAAGGCGTCCTGGCTATTGACGAAAGACACAAGTCTCTTTTCAGCATCAGCGCGTACGCTCGCATCGGTTGCTTCGTACAGCTGCTTGCACAATGTTTCTAATTGTTGGATTTCCTAGACAAATAAAATTCTTATATAAGTGTATATAAATGCAAATGAGTCCAAATAAATGTATGTATATTACAAAAATAAGAAGGAAACCCAGTTATGTCCCCTAGTCGGAAATGCCCGACTTGCATATACCCCGTATTCAGCGTCAAGAATCCGGTCCCAAATTTTCGAACTTCCTTCTATACATATGCACAAACATTCACAAATCAAACATTCTTAAGCACGCACTCCGAGTGCTGCACAAAAATGCAGCAGTCTTAGCCCAACATTAGGAGAAGCGCGATTTTAATTTTTAGGAAGCGGGGACTTTGCGCGAATCCACACACCAACTTGAATATCCCTAGCTATTAGGCTCCAAAATATGCTCTGAGCACAACGCATTTATAGAAAATCGGACAAGCCGGGACGGACTTGGCTAGGTCAATTCATTGATGCCGAACAAACATATGTACATATATGTCAACACACTTTATGTTCGGATATACTTTTTTTTCCTTCTACCTTTTCCATAAATTTATGCAAATCCATTTTATCCATTTTCAATGAGTACAGGGTACAAAATTAAATGTACATACATATGTACATACGTATGTAGATACATATTCCTATACCACATATGTACACCACACTAGATTGTAATTATAAAACAGTTGTTTTAAAAAATATTAAATACAAAAATACATAATATGTATATGTTAGTACATAAATGTGGAAGCTTATACCATAATGTTTTATATGTATGTTTGTTTTTTGATAAGTCAACTTTTTTGTTTTATTATGTGCACACAAGGGTTCTAAACTTTAAAAACTAAGTACTCCGGAGTGCTCCACTGTTTCGGCAATGCAATTTTAGCTAACTAGCTTTTGCTGCGGTAATAGTATATTCAAAATCTAAACTAAGAATATAAACAAAAACTGAACTAGGTAATATAAGGCAATTTAAACATAAGTGTTGGCAATTTAGCTTTTTTTTAGGTCAAATCTAGCCTTTTGAAAGGGCAGCACTGAAAACTATAATATTTTGAAATGTCTGCAAAAAGTCAGAATATACATAAATTATTCATGATCAGTTTCTGATTATTTCATAAAACAAATGGAACAAAATAGCTAAGTATTTTTTTTTATTGAACAGCACTGTCATCGCTTATATAGATAAAGGAAATTAATTAATAGATTACATCATGTTGGTAGGTTAGAAGACTATCGCTAAACTTAATTTAATTCTTACTACGTTTGCGTGCACTCTCAGATCCATCAGTAGCTCTGTTTTTAATATCTCCAAAATTGTACCAGCTTGTATACCATGGGATAGAAAGAAACATCAACTTTTTGTATTCACGACAACACCGCTAAGAGTTTTTTTTTGTTTTTTTTTTTGAGTTTAAAAAATGAAATTAATTTAACAAAAGATAAGTGTGCTGCTACCTTACAAGACAACTTAAACTTATCAGAAATTAAACTAAAATTACCAAAATAATTTATAATAGAACATAACAATGGATTAAAGTTAACTTATAAGGGGGAGGTTTAAGGGGTGATACTGAGAGATCGTCTAAATTTAAGTAGGAGATATTTATGTCAAGCCCCGGTTCAGGAGGTCTTGAGGGTGATGGCGTTTGAGTCTCCTCCTTACTCTTCTAAGGTGACAGGCGGTATTTAGACGTCTAGCTAAACAGTTTGGATGATACTAGCCTCTCCGTGTATTTTTGGGCAATCACTTGGATTCTGTCTCCTATTTTGGTCACCTTAAGTTTGCGCTCGATATTACGTGTCCTTATGTGCCATGGAGACCCAGAGATCATCCTCAAAGTCTTAGCTTGTAGCATGCGGATCTTATTCAGGTGCGACTTGGCAGTAATACCGTACACATGTATGGCATAGAATAGACTGGGAGCGAAGATGCACTTGTATATTTTGACCTTGTTCTCCAGCGACAATTTGTTTTCGGTGGGGAGTAACCAGGATATCTTTTTGAATTTGGCTCTATATGAGTGCTGCAGTGACGTGACATGTCTTTCGAAGGTAAGGCTTCTGTCTAGGATGACATCTAAGTACCTGTACGCAAATGAACGATCCAGTACTGTTCCATTAAGTGATACGGCTGGGCAGTTCTGCACTCGATTTGCGAAAGTCACAGTTGCACATTTATCTGCGTTTATGCACACATTCCATTTCGATGCCCATTCCTGGAATGCGTCCAAAAACTCCTGCAGTGCACTTTTGGCTAGAAGTATGCAACTGCTTTTTGTGAGCACCGCAGTGTCGTCGGCTTAGGTCGCTATTAGCGTATCGCTTTTATTAACTGAGGTAATTGCCATATGGTTTGGTATATCCGCTGAAAATATCGAGTACAATGTGGGGCCTAGAACACTGCCCTGGGGAACGCCAGCTTCGATAGATTGAATGGAGAACTTACACTCATCGTCAGTCTCTCGGAATGTGCGCCCTCTAAGAAGCTCTTTATAACCTGGAACAGCTGGGGGGTTAACAGGCACTTGGCTTTGTAAAGAAGTCCAGGGTGCAACACCCTGTCGAAAGCTTTCTGTATAACCAGGAAGACAGCGACCGCATACTCTTTCTTCTCCATGGCCTCTAATGCAAAGTTGACAACTCTATGTAGCTGCTCTGGAGTGCCATGCTGCTTACGAAATCGAAATTGAAATTAAGGGATCGCAAGGGCAACAGTCTCGACATCCAGCATTCTGTTTAGAATCAACCTCCATTATTTTGCTCAGTGAAGGAAGAAGGCTGATCGGCCTATAAGAGTCCACATCAGTAGGTTGTTTTCCAGGCTTGAGGATCATAATAATGTTTGCCGACTTCCAGGCTCCCGGAAAGTATCCCACACGAAGGACGCTGTTGAAAATAAGCACCAAAAACAACAGTGCCTGATCTGGTAGGAATCTTATGGTTCTGTTGTCGAGTACGGTGTTTCCAATGCCTCCGCAACTATCCTCCAATGACTCTCAGGTGCAAAGTCGTGCGGCCTGAATCGTTGCTCAAGATTGTTTGCAAATACTTTCGATTTATCAAGACTAGTGCGGCACCAGCTCCCTGAAGGGTCCCTAATAGCCGATTTCGGTGTTGCCAATGTCTTATATCTCTTAGTAATTTTCCACAGAGAGTAATTAGTAGAGACATCGGTACCCAAGCTTTCCAAGTTTTCTTTTCCTGCGGGCCAGAATTTTGTGAAGACGGTTAGCCTGTTGCGAATCTGTTGGATTCGGGCATCTCCTGTTGCATACTCCTTTCTAATTTTATGCTTGAGACGCAGGAACTCAACGATTATAGAAGGAAGCTGAGGCGATCTATCTCCATGCAGATGTTGTTGATTCCTAGGAGCAGCTCTTGTTGCAGCATCTTTCAGCTTGCTCATAAAAATATTGATTGCGTATCAATATCATCTGCGTCTTGAATTTCCATATTTAGATCAATCAGCTGTTCCAGATGGGCCCTGAAAATTTCTGTATCAGCACCGCGTGCTAGTAAACAAGAGCGCTGTGACTTGCTTATCGGAGGGGCGTGTAAATCAGCTATAAGTGGTGTGTGATCCGAAGAGAGCTCATGAAGCGTTTTCACGTTAAGCCTGCTCATTGCGTATCCATTAATGATAAAAAAATCTATTGCTGATGTTGATACTTGGGAGTTGGAAGAGTAGATTGTAGGCTCACCCGTTGCAAGAATTTGGAACCGATTATTCGCCACGACATCCTGCAACATTTTGCCTCTGGAGCAATTTGTTGTGTTGCCCCACCATGAGTGCTTGGCGATGTAGTCACTGCAATGAATTTGTTACCTCGATTGGTAAACACGGATTCAAATTCCGCTTTAGTACAAGGCTCTTTTGGAGGAAGATACAAAGATGCTAGTTCGACGGGCCCTTCCGATGTCTGCAGATTCACTCTTGCTAGCTGTATGTTGTTTGTTGAGATGGGGGTCTGAGGGATTTGGCACATGCTGGAGCGTACAATGACTGTGGCGCAATCTCTGATGTTACCGCTGGGGTGGAAGGCATGGTAGGTGGAGTAGCCTGGCAGGAAGACACGCTTTCCCTCTTTCATTTGTGTCTCTGTGACAAACATTACATCTATATTATTTGCACTGAGAAACAGCCGGAGCTCTCCAGAGCCCCTAACTAATCCCCGTGCGTTCCACAATCCGATTTTAATGATCGGTTGCATCATTTTTAGATACTTGAAATAAGAACCTGGACCAGTTCTCGGAAGGCCTTGTTAGCCTCCATAGTCTCTTGAACCAAATTGAATAATTGGTCCATTCTGGAGTTGAGATCCCGTATAGAGCTCTCTAGCGCATCCAATTCCTTGTCAGGCAGTGAGTTTGTTTCTCGCTGAAGATGCTTGTCAGCATTTGGACCAGATTTCGCCCTGTTAGGCCAAGCAACGTCGGCATAAGACATACTGCATCTGACAGTCTCAGCCGGGATGAAGCCACGTGGTGGGCCTTGGTTATATTTTGGCCTGGCAGTGTTGCCAGTAGTAGGGAGCCCTGGAATCGGTTTCAGTTTTTGCTTTTCTCAATCCTGACTGGGCAGTCTTTGTCGGTCGACGCGTGTTCACCACCGCAGTTGACGAACAAGAAATTTTCACTCGTGCAAAGCAGAGAACCAGTCATATGAGAGCTAGCGCATTTGACACAGATTGGGTCCCGGAGACAATAATTTTTGGAATGACCGAAGGTGTGGCATCTTAGACATTGTAGAACTTCTTTTCTGCGAGGAGCACGCTCCACTGAGACTCTGTATCTACCGAGTTGTGTAATTTTCAAAGCATTAGACACATTCGGTACTTGTTTTAGATTGACAAAAAATTGATTTTGCCTAGTCTTGTAGTTGATCGTCGCTTCATCGTCTGTCTCGTTGACCTGAACGTTACGCCAATCTGCCTTTCTTGGGCATTATATATTGAGGGTTTCCAAACCCTGGTCAGTAAAAGCTTGCACAATTTGTGTTTTGGGGACGTTGGCATTAACGCCTTTGAAGACAACGCTGTAAGGCTTTTTCTCCCTAAGTTGATGGTGCCTGAATTGACAGTTAATTTTTGTCAAATGTCTTACAGCTGCTCGGAAAGCGTCAGAGCTTGCGGTGTATATCCGTGATACACCGAACTTAGAGGTGCGAATGCTATAGTAGTTGGCACCCACACACGAGTCTAGTACTTGTTCCATGCCTAAGGGATTGTTGACTTGTGGTACACATATTGCTGGAGCTGTGGTACACATATTTGAGAGCGTTTTTGAGATTGATTGTTTGTTTCCGTTGCCAACAGCACGAGCTTCATCTTCGTCGTCAGAATCGCTTTCTGACAATCCTTGCTCCATCATGTTGTCCGCTTCTTCGTCCAGAACTGCAAAACGGTTTTTACTCAGTGCTGCTGCAGTCGAGGTGGATGCCGTGTCTTTGGCTACTTCCTTGTGTAGCTCAGCGGGTTTCGACTTTATTTATAAATTTAGATGTGTTTATAACTCCCTTATGTTTTTTACTAGCGGGCAGGACACGGTCTTGAAACGAGCAGTTCGTCTTACGAGATGCTGCTGACAAGAATTCACCCAATGTGTTGTCACGTGACGTAGTCGACGAAATGTTCGGCCCCACAGTTGCCGCTACAGTATACGTAGATGTAGATGTCAAACTTGCTTGCATAGACATAGAGATAGTGCAGGTAACGCTGATAACAGTGCTTATTGTTACCGTCGGGCCAGATATCACCCGATTTGGCAATAAGCTGTTGTTTTCCGCAGAAATGGATCTTGCGCTACCGCGGGTTTGAGAGCGTAGAGTTTCAGGGCTTACCCCAGCTGCTTTTCTAATCTCCTCCAGTACAGATTGCCTATTACTAGGTAGCGACTGATTCGATGAGTTATTGTCCATGGCTTCAATTGTTATTATTTATAGTCAAATAATGCAATTGTCGTCCACTTTTTCAGATCAAAAGGTCAGAACTAACAGAAGCAACCACTCACTTGTGCAGAGCGCAGGGCGAGGGGCAAACTTAGCATCGTTTAAGTCTGGCTTATCTTAGGTACAGTGCCGCAATAAGCTGCCGCCTCCGCAAGCAGTGGCTAAAAATACTGCAAGAAAGCACAAAGAGATAAGGAGATAAAGATATTGTGTTGATCACTTGCGAAAATAACTTGTCAAGCGCGCACGTCCGAATGCAACGAACTCTTGGTTAAGCCCCGCTGAATGGTTTTAAAAATAAAATATTGCACGCCTTGCCGTCACAAAAATCCCTGCATGATGACTATACATACTGGTACTTTGTTCCTTTATATATATCAATACTGTACAAATAATATATTGATATCAATACTGTACAAATTTAATAACATAACATACTGGAAATTTTAGGCCAGCATTTATTGTATGCTTTCAAAAAGGTTATGGATAACTTTATTTATGACAATATAAATCGGCTTTTAAATTTATCATCTTCATTGTCGCTCTTGAGCAATTTTGTATCGAAGTTGTCAAATAATCAACGGTGCTACCTTTTGGTCTAATTTTTGTTGTTGTAAATTTTGTGTTTTTCGAATGTTTTGTTCCAATAAATATCGACAAAAATTTCAATTACATCGAGACCTAGAGATATTTCCGCTATATACTTATTGGGGGTATTTATAAAGATAAGCCCAACAATTCGCACGTTTCGCTAGATCGTCGGCTCTTTGCAAAAAAAATTCTTTTAAAATTTGTAGGTACATATGTTTGTCCTTTGTTAAGTACCTGTTGCAAAACCGGTCAAAGAAAACGCCATGTACAACATTTAAGTTTTCTGTGCAAAGTATTCGGGCTCTTCTAAACGTAAGACATGCTATTCAGAAAACGTTGGATTTCGACTCATTTGAGACTGCAAGGCTTGTAAGCAATTATCTTTGCTCAATTGTTGCTCGCGAAGCCATTATAAGAACTATTAATAAAGTCATATATAAACTGCGCATTTTCCTGTGAGCAAATTATTAATTTTACTTGCATTTTTCTTTGGTGCAGTTATTTTCCAATTTATTCTTATTATCCCTTACACACAAACGTTGCATATCGATGCTCTCTAAAGTCAGCACAAAATGACACAATAGCTATCTATTTTTTGCATAATATGTTTTTCACAATTCGCTTTTGACTTTTTAGTATTGTGCAGTTGAATTTGTATTAGTAGTTTCTATAGTCAATTGCATTTATAATCTATTACCATTTTATGTTTTGAGATAAAGCTAATTTGTTGGCTACATCTTAATATATATAGCCTCTTTTAGCATTTGAAGTCGCCGATTCCGATTTTGTACATCGATTATTGGTCACGTCACAAATCGAAAGTAGCGATATAACATAACAGCGACTTATAGCCTATGTCCGTTGAACACACACATTCTTGACAAATGTGTGAAATGTGCCTTTTGCGTTTCCCCATAAAAAAACACATTTCATACATCCTTCAAAAAGGCACATATTTCAGAAATGTATAAATTCGCCCCGAGCATTTCGTGTTGTTTGCGATGATTATTCGAGATTTCTATCGATGTTGTGAAAAATGGTTAAGTGTCGTAAGCATAAACAGCTGATATATCAATGAAGGCAAGCGGAAACTTTAAATAAGAAATTTTATATTAAAAGCGAAATCTCGAAAAAGAGAACCTAAAATGGAGCTTTTACTTCTTCCAGCTGTTATTTACAGAAGCGGTACTTTTGCCACTCACATGTTACCGACAACACCAATATGTGAAATTTGAAAATGTGACATTTCTTAAACCAGTCGACAGAGGCTATTAAATATACCACGTTCTACTATCATTCAGCTTTGCGTTTGCATGCACAATTATCGATACATCTTAAAATGTGTTTTGTGATGAATGCATCCACTTCTACATCCAATCAATAAGTAAACTTTACAAATAATCATAGAATCAGACAATTCTCTATTTCTCGCAACTAACGCATTTATCTCAATAAAAACATTGATTTTGTATTATGTTAAATTCAGAAAGTCTATAAGGCTCGTAATAAATACTTTAGTATTAGCACTAACCACACAACGGATAGCATAAATGCATGTGCCCAAGCATTTATTTTAATTTGTGGTCCAAAGTCAACTTCGTTTTTGTTTGGATGCGACACTCGCTTTAACGTCTAACGCTCGGCACTCTATTTAATGATTTCGGGCTTGAATTCAATAAATTGAATGAAATAGCTTGTTGGATTTCGGGTGTGAAATGTGTGGAGCCCCAAACTGCCCGTAGATATAATAAGGCCTGCTGCTACGTTACCAGGCGAGGCGGCTTGGAAAGTTTTGAAGGTTGCTCACATGATTTCACAAGCGGGGTTTTTCATTTTAAAAAGGCCTTCAGCTTTATTGACCTTAACCTTAATATTTAAATTTGAATCGGAAGAGCACAGAGCATACGTCAGTTGACTTGGACTGACGCTCATAGACTTCAGCATGTGTCGCAAATTCCGCAGTTACTAAACTAATAAATTCAAAAGCTCGATAAAATTACAAATTAAAGAATGTAAGATAATTTAAAATATCAGGACTTAAGAATGTCACTAAATTAAACTCACTTAATCGTGATAGCGGCTGATCCATTGAGTGACAAGACATAACTCAATGCGGATGATCTAAGCACAGGTGCTCTTTTTTTATGTGCTCTCTTATAATATATGCTCCTAGTGACAGGAGCGATAACTCCTGTGTGTTAGCTTTAGCTTAAACATAACTAAATATTTAAGTCAATAAAATGATAAAAATTATAAATATATAATCGCTTCCATTTTGTATTTGGTATATTTGAAAATTGATTTGTTTTTGCGAAAATATCGTTTGGTTATAATATCATTGAAATGATTACTCACTTGATTTACAAATGCAAGGTAGGTGCTTGCGAAGAGGTTCGTCTTTCGGCTCAACGGGGTGCTGCAGGTAATTCAGTAATTCATTCATGCAGTTTCCCAAATCTGATATTATAAAAAAAAGTGGTGCACGTTAGACGCGTACCAATAATACAAATTTCACATTCACACACATTTCACACATACCAACGCCTAGGAACCCTTAACAGCGATAAAGAGCGAAAAAACAACAATTTTGCATCGACGTGGCAATCACTTTTATATTTCATATTACTCGTGCGTCCGAAATTTCAAAATAATTAAATTTGTGCGGACATATACACTATCATACATTTAAACGACCCCAGATATAATGAAAGAGCAATAAGAGCACCAAGAGTAAGCCAAAGCAGTTTCTCGTAGTGGGACCAATATAAAAAATACCGATGCCGTTCTATCAAACAAATCATATGTATTTGTTATTCTCTAGCTCTTTGAGTAAGTGAGCGAGTCTCGGACCCGAAGAAAAACGAATCCAACATTGGAACAGAAATCAAATAGATGCATGGGCACATGCATTTGTACTAGCTGTAAACTCTATATGTTGTATGGTTATTGGTATAAAATTTAAACGATGTATTCATCGACATATAAAACGGTGTGCGTATCGAAATATAAGTTAGCGTGTTGCACCAAAGTCAGATAGAAGAATAAATCGATACTTATAGTTTCGAGATTTTAATTATTTTTGAGAGTTCGATTTGAGCTAATGAATTGCGAAGTGTTGAAATAAGGATATAGAAAATTGTTACGAAACTGCTTGTTTCTCGGTGGGCCGCGCCGGCTGGCTACACGTCTGTAGCAAAGCAGACTTACACAACACTATGCTTAGCGAAATCGATAACACCAAACAATCGGAACTTCTGACAGATGAACAACGTAAACAGCTGTGACGATAAGTAAATGTAAACAACAAAGATGAGATGTTGATATAAACTAACAAAAACACTATTAATCCACTTTACTTTTGCAGATCGGTCACCGGTTCCGGACCCAGTGTACCCGCCAAACCATGAGACGATCACCTACTCGTCTCACACTTTTGGCCATTAGATGGCTATCAGCCTGTGCCGGCTGTTATGACAACTCTCCCCATCAAAGAAAATTTAGGCGGACATTTCTCTCTTCAGATACGGTATATAATTAGTTGCATTTCTTATCGTTATTAATATTTAATCTTATTTCTTATTCACCGGCAGGTTATCTTCAAGCTGTTATTGATTATTTCGTACACGCGAACATTTCCGGCATTTTAAACCAGGTGCATACGATAAATTGGTACATTGGTAAACTTTTTAATTTCATTCTTTACTTGGCAGATGCAATAATCTTTGGGCCCTTTCCTTCCCGGTTCTCACTTTCGAAATTTACTTAATTTAAACTAGTCGTGAGTATTTTTATGTATTTAATAACAAAAAAAAACTAGAGTTAAAAATTCCAAATAAAAATCGGTTCTCTTTCAGGGAGCACAATGAGGAGTCTGCGTCTGACTCTGTCGTTTACTCAGGCGAGAAGGCACGAAATGGAACAGACTCACTCGGATGATATGGGCGTGGTCTCGCCCGTGGACGCCTCTTCGTCGTGTGAGTCCCGTCCGTGGTGGATTACGCCGATACTTGGCCGTGCTTTGAAAATCCGGCTCGTGAATATCTGGGTTGATCTGGCCAGCGTCCTCCGGCGCGGGATTCAAGCGTTGTGTGCCACAGAATGGCTGCGGCTGCTCTAATAGAGTATCGCTTTTGTAGTCATTTTAAATGACGACAGTGTGTTTCTGGTCTATTATTGTTTTGTGTATTATCGCTCTGGTGCACTATTTCTTTTGCAATACGTTAGCACATAAGGAATTATCTTGGCAATTTACTAATAAAGAAAGCCTGTCATGAGAAAATTTATGCCCTTTGATTTTTTTAAGCACATGCTCCGTGGCCGGCAAAAAAAAATATCCAGCTTCAAAATTTTTTAACTGTGAGCTGGTACGTCCGCTGTGGACCGCTCACAAAGTCGAACTCTCTTCACTGTACATTGGGCAGCACATCAAAGGTGCCGAAATTCGGTACCCACGTACATTTATATATGGTTACCGTTGCTGCTTATCGGGACAGCTGCTGTTTTTTTTTATTTTTTTTTGGGTCAGCGGCTCGAAAAACGGCCAAGGGCATCTTCAAGGGCATGTGATCCACTCTCTCTTTTATCTCTTTGGGAGCGAAACGGGCAGCCAGAAGCAATCGCCTCTTTTGGCGTCGTGGATCGCAAGTCCGTTGTTGCCGCTCCTCGATATTTTAAGCGCCGTTGTGTGTCCGGCTTCCCCCCGATAATCTGTCCCTATGACCAAAGATATCGGCGCGGCTTATAATAAAGAACGCAATTGCATGCGAAAATTCGGTGCCTTGACTTCCTTGCATGTCACACACCGTCTCACCCAATCCCTTACCTGACTAACCCTGCAGCGTCTCGTGCGTTTTCACGACACCCCCATGACCAGCCGTCTCATCTACATGATCCTTCGCTATTAAGCCGGCTGTCAACGAGCTTTTCAACCACAACTTCCACACGGTGCCTTCCAACTGACCAGCGTGCTAGTCTCCCGCGTAGATCCTTCATGGACATCAGCCATTTTAGGCTGGCGTGGTCCGTGATACAGGTGAAAGGCATCACTTCTATATAGGATCTGAACTTTTTTATGGCATCGAACTAAGCAGTCCTTTTCAGTGACGGAATAATTCCGTTGGTGTTTGTTCAGCTTGGCTGAAAAGAAAGCTATGGGTCGTTCCTGATCTTAAGTGTCTTATTGGAATAACACCCTTCCCACACAAAACTGCGACGCATCGCACTGCACGAAAAAGGGTTTTGAAAAATCCGCGTGCACAAGTACTGGGGCGGTCTTCAATTGTTCAACGGCTCGTTTTGCCTAGTCGCTCTATACAAACTTCCCGCTATCCTTTTTTAACATTTCAGTCAGTGGGGCGACCATTCCCGCGAAATCTCGCATAAAGCGCCGGTACCAACCTGCGGTACCCAAAAAAGAACGAACCTCTTTGCGCGACGGAAGCACGCGCATTTGCTTAAGAGCTATAACCTGTTCAGGGTCCATGTGAAACGTGCCACCACCAATAATGAATCCTAGGTATTTTAATGCCCTGAAGCAAAATTTGGATTTGTGCAGTCCGATTGAGAGTTTGGCTTCTCTTAAGCATTTGCTCACTTGTCGCAAATATTACAAATGCGTTGGGAAATCAGGTGAAAAGACTAATAAGTCCTCCAAGTATACAAAGACGTTGGACCGCAACTCGTTGGGAATCACCTTGTCCATCAGACGAAATAGACGTTGGGCTGCATTGCATAAACCAAACGGCATGACGCGAAACTGGTATAGTGGCCTACCTGTTACGATAAATGCATAAGGCCTGCTTTTATCGTCTAGTTCGACCTGCCAATACGCGAACTTCAGATCCACACTGAGATGTAGTGGGTCTGGTATATTCTAGATAGGATGCCTTCTATACAGGGTAGTGGATACACGTCTTTCACCGTCGAATTATTGAGCTTGCGTGCATCGAGGCAAAAACGGGTTTTCCCCAGTATTCGCACTACGGTTGTGCGGTTACTCTATGGGCTATTGACCTCTTCTATAACCTTCAAACTCAACATTTTGTCTACTTAGTCATGCGCTACTTTCTGCATCGCTAGTGATAATGGGTAGGGTCTATCTTTGAACGGTTGGGCACCTTCCACTAAGTCGATAGAGTGCTTCTCTAGGTTTGTCGTTCCTAATCCGCTATGCTTAAAACACAAAAACCCCTGCTTTTCCGCCTCCAACTCTACCCTTTCCTCCCGAGACAAATCCCATGAATCTGGCTCATTTTCACCTTCTTCGTCCTCTTCCGCATAGTGTGTCATTAACACTGCCAAGAGCCCTTCCCCGTGGTGTTCGGTGGAGGTTATCTCCTCGGGGCCCAAAATATCAGGGGCTAGGTTAAAAGCTCGCCAGAAATCAATTCCGAAATAGGCTCGCTGTTTCAGGTAGGTTTTTATGCTGCTCCCTGTACGAGATTAGGTGCTCTACCCTTCCTATGATTGACTTATCCTCTCCTCCAGCGGTCGTGACTACCGAAACATACGGTTGTACCGTAACTCCTAATTCTTCTACTAATTCTCGATCACCTTTTCCCAGCAGGCTAACCGAGGCTCCGGTGTCTAGCAAAACTTTCATTTTGATCCCATGGACCTCCACTTCAGCGAATACGCGTGGTTCTTGGCTATCCTCCCGTTTCACAGTTTGGATGACCTGGCGCCTCGTCCTCGTGCGTCTGCGGAAGCGCGCCCGAGCCTTGAGCACTCTTCTAGTGGCCAATGTCATCCCCTCCAGCTGTCGTTCACCAAAAATTCTATTCCGGGCCGATATGTATGCCCGGACACGTTCTTCATATATTAAGCCTCTTAATGGTTTTCCTTCATTTTTATCCTTATATAAAACCTTATCCTGGCCCTTATGGTCTGTATTCCTCTCCTCTACCACTGTTATTGGTTTTGGTAGGTGTTCCTTTCTTGTTTTTCTGTGGTTGCCGTCCCTGAACGCGTCTGCCCCGCCATCAGCGCGCTCCCTCTGGGGCTTCCCGGACAATTTTCGCATTGTGCACAGAATGTGTCCGGCTTTCCGCATCTGTAGCAGAAAATCTTCCGATCCTTAGAGAGGCAGTCCCTAAAGACGTGGTCGAACTGCCAACAGTTCCACTACACTAGCCGAGACGAGGTCCTGCCTCGCACGAATACCAGTTCTCTAGGCGATGTTTCCGCACGATCTGGTGGTACTTCAACCTCGTGACTGTGGGCCTCATTCCTTGTGAGTAACGCGACGGCTGCACGTACCCGGTCCGGCTTTTGCGACCAATGTGCCTTTCCACTTCTATGCATTTTTGGCGCAGCTCATCTACGGTTAGTACATCCATGGCATAGATGTATTTTGCCAGACCCCAGCCACGCTTTATAATTTTTAGCAGCTTGCGGTCTCTCAGGGGCTTCGGGATTCGCAAGGCGAGTTGACGCATGTGGTGATTATAGTCGTCCACCCCTTCGCTAGTCTGTTGCTCTCGTTGTAGTAGCTCCTGCATCACGTCGTGCTCCGTCTGATATCCCCGGAACCGGTCTAAAAGAGCGTGCCGCAGTTGCATCCAGCTATCGACCCTAAAATGCCGCACGTGCATCCAGTACCACTCTCGGGCACGGCCGGTCAGGAACAGGAACAGTCGAAAACCGCGCAGGAACTCCTTCCAAGGGCATTGATAATACTTCTGCAGGAATCCCAGCCAAAACACGAAGTCCTCGACAGAATTCATGGCGTCCTCGCCATTGCACTTGAACTTCCACCGCTCGAGTTTCAGGTACGCTGCTTCTTGCACGTTGGGATACGTTTCCTCTGGCTGGTCCTCCACTCGGAAATGGCGATTATTCGGATTCCGCCAGTTCCTCGCATGAGCCTCGGCAACATAAACAGGGCTGCTGAATAGGTACTCCGCTCTTCGCGCGCCCTGTCTGTGTGGCTTCGGTGGCACCGGTGGTGGAAATGGTTCGCGCTGTAACCCTTCTCGTTCTTTTGGAATGACGCCTGTTCGCGGTTCCGGCTCGCCAGGTCGTGAAAGCTTCGGCGCAGCGTTATTTTCTTCGGCGTGGCTCCCTGGTGGCCCTAGCACATCCATGATGCCCTTCATCATCCGCATGAAGCCTGTTCGCATCTCCTCACGGATGGATTCGCTGATTCCAGCGGGCAGAGCATGCAGATATATTTGGTGCCCTTGAGCTATCGCCACATTCGCTGCCGATGTGAGTACGGAGTTCTTCGCCGGCTGTGGGAATTCTAGGTCCCGTGGGGTTCTGTCTTGTTGCGCCATCTCCTTCTCCAAGTCTACTAGATGACCTTCCGCCGGGATCTGTCGTTCAGCAAATCCGCGGAAATTCATCGGCGTTCTCACAAGACCTCCTGCCGGACGTGGCGGTGGCAGAGCTGACGCTCCGCTTCAGCTTCAGAACCCCAATCAGACACTTGTTCCTCTGCCATACTGAACCCTGATACCAAAAAAAAAAAAATAAAAATAAATAAATAAATAAATAATCAAATAAATAACGACAACAAATAAAAAAAACTCACAACAACTCAATAAATTTCAAATACTTGGTGGGGAAAGGAGACAAATCCTAGCACAGGCTAACTTATCTACGCACTTGACAGTTGACAACATTTAAGCGATCGTCAAATGCTCAGTTCGTCAATTTAACTGGAGAACGGCATTTAAGGAACGCTACCTTGAAGGCTATTATGTTTCTGTCGCACCTCTGGACACCTCCCGGACATGCTGTGTGACAAGTGCGGCGCAGGCTCGATTGTACATCGTCCTGGGTTACCTGGCTCCGAAGCTCATATAACTACGGCCAGCATACATCAAACGTATACCTAGAGTGAGACAAAGCAAATAGTAAACAATAAACAAACTCTAACTGACCCTAATATCACATTTCATCACAGGATATTTTTTTATAGCGGCTACCACCAGTCGAATGATGAACAGTCGCAAACGCTTCGCCAGCAGCAAACGTGACGTACTGTTCTTGACCGCGACAAGAAAGCCCCCTGTTAATGGACACCATGCAAGCTCAGTCTCCGTCGCTCTTCCGGCCATTCTTGGGATATGCTGTGTGACAGATGCGGTGCAGGCTCGATTCTACATTGTCCTGGGTCACCTGGCTCCGAAGCTCTTGTAACCGCAGTCATTCACACTCCCAGCATTAAGACAGAATGCGACCAACAAAACTAAAAATGAATAAATAACAGCTGACAAACTACCCTAATATCACATCTTTATCACGATATGCCTTTGTCATTGCGGCTACCACCAGGCGAATGATGACCGGTCGCGAACGTTTCGCCCACATGCGAACGTGCATTACCGACATCAACCACTACAAGAAAAACTTCTCATGCTTATGGATATTCTGATAATCTCTAATTCCGTCGTGCTTCTCGGATTCCACGACCCGCCTAGCGATTATGGGCCACCAACTCGTGCCACATAAGACTTCAGCGATGGGGATCCTTAAACCAAGGGAGTCCTTTTCTCTGTACCTTCATTAGTATCTTATTATTTTTATTTTTGATGTACGCACCGACTTCAAAGAAGCCGAGTACCTTTTCAAACGTTGGGCGCCATATTGTCACGAAACTGCTTGTTTCTCGGTGGGCCGCGCCGGCTGGCTCATCAGTTTCTCTGGGTGCAGTCCCATCCCTGGCCCGCAGTCCGCAAAATCGATAACAGCAAACCTACACGTCTGTAGCAAAACATACTTACACAACACTATGCAAAACAAATCGATAACATCAAACAATCGGAACTTCTAACAGATGAACAACGTAAACAGCTGTGACGATAAGTGAATGTAAACAGCAAAGATAAGATATTGATATAAGCTAACAAAAACACTATTAATCCACTTTACTCTTGCAGATCGGTGACCGGCTCCGGACCCAGTGTACCCGCCCAACCATGAGACGATCACCTATTCGTCTCCCACTTTTGGCCATTAGATGGCCATCAGCCTGTGCCGGCTGTTATGTCAACTCTCCCCATCAAAGAAAATTTAGGCGGACATTTCTCTCTTCAGATACGGTATATAATTAGTTGCATTTTTTATCGTTATTAATATTTAATCTTATTTCCTATTCCCCGGCAGGTTATCTGCAAGCTGCTATCGATAATTTCGTACACGCTAACATTTCCGGCATTTTAAACCAGGTGCATACGATAAATTGGTATATTTTTATATTTAGAACAATTGATATTAATTTTAAATTTCAATTTTTTTCACTACCTTCAAATTCGCTTCAACAGGTATTTATAACGTGTTGCATCATTTCATATTTATAACAATTTCTGTTAATCTTAAAAATATTAATATTTTTTTTGTACAGAAAACATTCTGGTTAGCGACCATCATACAGAACAGGAAACAAAAAAACAAACGCCCAGAAGTTATTGCCAGTCAGCAAAAGAAAGGAAAACAAGGGAAGAGATATAAACACAGGTAATTATTGCACCAATGGGGAGCAAGTACCCGCTAAAACAAATGCGTGTATACATATGTGTTACCAACGAAAGGCGTTGTTTGTCAAAGCGCTTATATTACCTTGCCTGCCTAAAGAGCTCTCTGGGTGGGGGGCACCTGCACCTGAGGTGCGTAACATATATATGTATACTTATAAGTGGGTATCACTCGTGCATAAGTTGACCAAAATCTAAACTTTTTGATTTCATTCTTTACTTGGCAGAAGCAAAATTTTTGGGCCCTTTTCTTCCCGGATCGCACTTTCGGAAATTTACCTAATTTAAACTAGTCGTGAGTATTTTTATGTCTTTAATAACAAAAAAAAAACTGGAGTTAAAAATTCCAAAAAATAATTGGTTCTCTTTCAGGGAGCACAATGAGGAGTCTGCGTCTGACTCTGCCGTTTACTCAGGCGAGGAGGCATGAAATGGAACAGACTCACTCGGATGATATGGGCCCGTGGCCGTGGGGACCGTGGCCGCCTCATCGTCGCGTGAGTCCCGTCCGTGGTGGCTCGTCTCTCCGTCGTGTGGATTACGCCGATACTTGGCCGTGCTTTGAAAATCCGTGCTGATTATCTGGGTTGATCTGGCCAGCGTCCTCCGGCGCGGGATTCAAGCGTTGTGTACCACAGAATGGCTGCGGCTGCTTTAATAGAGTATCGCTTTTATTGTAGTTTTAAATGACGACAGTGTGTTTCTGGTGTATTATTGTTTTGTGTATTATTGCTCTGGTGCACTATTTCTTTCGCAATATGTTAGCATATAAGGAATTATCATGAACAAATGTATGCCCTTTCATTTGTTTAAGCACATGCTCCGTTACCGGCAAAAAAAAAAATGTCCAGCTTCAAAATTTTTTAACTGTGAGCCGGTACGTCCGCTGTGGACCGCTGACAAAATCTCTTTACTGTACATTGGGCAGCACATCAAAGGTGCCGAAATTCGGTACCCGCATACATTTAAATATGGTTACCGTTGTTGCTCATCGGCACAGCTGCTCTTTTTTTTTTTTTTTTTTGGGTCAACGGCTCGAAACACGGCCAAGGGCATCTTCAGGGGTATGCGATCCACTCTCTCTTTTATCTCTTTGGGAGCGAATCGGGCAGCCAGTAGCAATTACTTCTTTTGGCGTCGTGGATCGCAAGTCCGGTATTGACACTCCGCTTTTAAGCGCCGTTGTGTGTCCGGCTGCACCCCGATACTCTGCCCCTAAGATCAAAGATATTGGCGCGGCCGATAATAAAGAACGAAACCAATTATGGGCAATATTGATGTCGTCGATATGTCAAGTGCAATAAAATATAAGAGTCTGTAGACCTTATATATTAAGTGTAGGCCTTGTCTAGAACTTTCATTGATCATTTAAGTAGCTAATAGCTAGACAATGTGATCGGTGCAGAGATTTCAAAGCATATTATAAAGAGGGTGTAACATTTTTAAATTTATTTTGATTACTGTCAAAGCAAAGGACAAAGTATAGTGAGCTGCATTTGGTGTTGATGAATTAGTTCAGTACTCCCAACTAGAGCCTCTTACTTGTTCTAAAATATATTCTGTGTGTCTTAACCGATCTTTATAAACATTTTAGTAGTAGATCTTATTGTGCTACAGAATTTTGGAATATTTTGAAAAAGAAAACAGCATCAAATATGTCGCTTTAAGTGGTTACGATATCTATAAAATAAAATGATAAATTAACACTACTCAGAAAGCTGAATGCCAAATTTTTTGACTCTAGCTGTTTAAATAAACGAAATTTACTCAAATAACAGGTTGTCGATATTGATTCTTAACGATTGCTTATAAATGGGATTATTTTTTGGCTAAATCTAACTATATATAGCCTATTTTAGCATTTGTAGTCGCCAATTCCGATTTTTTACATAGATTATTGGTCACGTCACAAATCGGAAGCAGTGAACCCTAACAGCGACTTTATTATACCACGTTCTACCACTAACCATACAATGAATAGACATAACAAATTTCCCTTTTTATTGAAACAAAAAAAAATCGAAACGAGGCCAAAGCTAAAAATGTTGTCAATTTTGCATCGGACAGGCAGCCAGGCAACCAACACGCACACAAACGTATAAATGTTTCCATCCATATAAAAAAGTGCGTAAGTATGCGTGCCTGGCCGGCCTAAAAAGGTATCATGCACACATTGTAAGGCGGCCACTAAGGTAGCCACCCCACAGTTCATAATTATAATTATAGGGTATAAGCATTGTATAGTATATAAGCATTTTATTAGTATTAAGAACAGTAAAGGCAAGGTGCCGATGTATTAAAGCTAGTTAAGGGCAAGAAGCTCAGTTTGAATTAAGTTTGAATTTAATCGCCGGCCGCCACAGCAACCGTGCGTTGCTTAATTGTTGCTCAACACCGCCTTCGAGAGCGCAACTTCAATTCGGCGGCGAAGAGCGAAAGCTCCGAGGCGAATTTGCGAAAGCTTGCGGCGAAGTTAAACGGCCGAGGCGAATGCATGGCTCGCTAGCCATTTCCGGGACTTTTTAGAGAACGATCAGGCTGAATAGAGGTGTTGAGGAAAGGAGCGTGAGTTATAACAGTGAGGTGTACAGCGGAGCGCTAGGGCTCCAAGGCAGTGCGGCAGGGCCTTAGCTTAGGAGACCCAGGAGGGTAAAAGTTAATAAACCAAGTAAATAAAGTAGATATAATCAAAATAATGAAGTGAAATGCTGATCTTTGTATTCTCGGGCGGTCATATTTGTGCTAAACATGGGAAATAACCGGTGTTCACCCTAACCTAAGGGGCACTGCGAGGCCAAGGCCCGGCAGTGCAGCTGATGCGAGGCTATAGCCCGCTAGTGTCGTCGGTGCAAGACCAAGGCCCGCTGGTGTAGTTGGTACTAGGCCAAGGCCCGATATTGTAGTTGGTGCGAGGCCAAGGCCCGATAGTGTAGATGGTACGAGGCTACGGTCCCCTAAAATAGGTAGTACGGGGTTGCGACCCGGTAGAGTAGGTGTTGTGAACCTAAAGAGAGAAGTATGGTTTGGTCGGTACGTTCACTTCGCCCCCCTTAAACCCTCAATCCAAGCGAACTTATAAATGATTTGTTAGTCACAAGGCCTGGTAAGACTGAGATTTATACCCTGGCCAATAGTTTCCTTACAAGTGGCGCCCGAGCAGGGACAAGAGGCATTGGATAGCGTGGCATGTCGGCGGCTTAAAACCCCGCGGGCGCGCCCAATTAAGTGAAAAAAAATGCTTAGAGGGTATTTGTAGTCGGGCACACCCTAGAGTGTGGGTACCCTGGTGGAGGGTAAGAGAAAATAATACCTCGCACATGGGAAATGACAAGAATAGGGTATTGAGAAGTCGAGCATACCCTGGAGAATTCGTTTCATACCTTGTGCTAGAAATGAACACCTGGGCAATCTAGGCGACCAAAAATGTGAGTAGAAGCACACAGAGTGAATGTCGGGAAAATAACGGCGATCGAAAAAGTACAGCGCGAGCGCGCCAGATGGGCGACAGCGAGAACACGCTTGCGTGTGCACAGACGCGCGCCGCAGCTGACGTTGGCGTCGAAGGGCCGCTAAGGCGTCGCGACAGAGGCTGTACAGTGGAACGAATTCGACTCGTGTGCGGTGAAAAGTTGAATACGTCAGTACAACCAACGCAAGCAATGAGAACGGGCGTGATTAAAACTAAACTAAACGGAGTGAATTATAAAATAAGGAAGTGAAAGACAAGTTAAAGGAGCGAGAAGTTAAAGTTGATTAAACAGAAAGTGACTTATTTTGTTTTACTTTTTTTGGTGGCGTGACCGGGAAAAAAATCCATAAAGAAGCAAAATTCTTATAATAATAACAACTGTCAAAAATTGGTGGAGTTTTTTTTTAAACAATATTAACCCAATCGAAATATTTATTGACAATAATCAGTGAATTATTTTGTTTAATTTTTTTTTGGTAGAGTGATAAAAAAAAAAAAAAAAAAAAAAGAAAAGAAAAACTGAGTGAGTGGAATGCTCAAAATGGAATCAGGTGAGTGCCAAATCCCGTGAGTAGACGTGCGTTGGATCCACCAGCGGTGCAAGGAGGAGCTGGTGGCCATCGCCCAGGAGTTCGGGCTGGAAAAGAAAGGGCGCGTGGAAGAGCTGCGTAAGTGGCTACCCACCTACGTGCAGGAGGGCGGCCATTCGTCTGAGATCTGGGCTTGGCTTGCCGAGTCTCAGTTCGCGAAAACGTTAGAACCGCTATCCTGGGGTGTTTAATCTGACGTAGCTGGACGACCGCGCCAATAGTCAGAGCCTGATCTTAGGAGCTCACAATTCTACGGGTGTCCGCAGCCGCTTATCCCTGGCGTGGCCGTCACGGGGGTAGAAGAGGCTCACGATTCCGGGGAAAACGGAGATCGCCGAGCAACCAGGACCAACGTGGGTGTGGGGCGGAACCCGATTGAGCCCAATAAGTCTCCTACGCTCCCGAACCATATTCTCGGTCGGAGGCTAGGCCTTTCACAAACGTCCCGGAACAAGTTCGGAAGTGGGGCATGAGATACGATGGCCGCTCCAGCCCCCTTGGGTTCTTGGAGGACCTAGAGGAACGAACCATTACGTATGGTATCGCCCTCGATAGATTGCCCCGGGTAATGAGCGAGGTGTTCTGCGACAAGGCCGCTCGGTGGTTCTTGAGCAATGGGCTTAGAGATGTGTCATGGTTGGTGTTCAGGAGGGGTTTTTTGTAGTTTTTCCTGCCCCCACGTTACTTCGAAAGGTTTGAGGCGTGGGGGAGGAGTTGAAGGAGTACCTGATAGAGCTAAAAGCTTTGATGCATCACACCAGATACGAACCGGCACAGGAGTTGCACCGGATCTACAAACACGCCGCTCCCGAATTCAAACTCTACCTGCGTCGGCAAGATTTTTCCACCCTGTCCCAGCTGACTCAGCTCACTGAGGATTACGAAACGGTGATGAGACAGCGAGCGGGATACTCCGGAAGCAGGGAGGGAGAGCAGGGCGTCAGGGAGTCAGGTGGTCACGAACTCAAGTAGCGCGGAGTGCGAAAGAACGGTACAGCCCAAGGGGGGACACCTTAACCCATTCCGCTCTACTCCCATCGGATCCGGAGCGATCGCTGTGGATTGACATGGTCTCCGCCCCGCCGGCAACGGCCCCTGCGGAAGTTTCCTACCAAAAGATGAGCCGAGAGGCCGGAAGCGGGTATGATCCGCGACGAGCAGGTGCAGGTGCGCACAGGAGGTGCACTTCGCCATGGAATGTCCCAATGCGCCTGTTTTGTTTTGTTGGGTATGTGGGCACCGGGACAGAAGTAGCCAGGATTGTTGTCCCGCACGGAGGCGGGAAACGGACAACGGCGTCGCCCAGGTCAGGGTCGCGTCGACGACGACCAACACGGGACTCGGTAGTAGTGCACCCGCTTAAGGTGGAGGGTGGCCGGATCGTCGCCACGGTAAAGATTGGCGGGCGGGCGATGCCTGCTACTATCGATACAGGGGCCACTCGCAGCTTCATGAGAGAAGACTGTGTACGCTAGTGGGTGATTCGGGAGAGAGTGGAGAACGTACAAGCGCGCATTCGTCTGGCAGTTGGGTCACAATAGAAGTAGGGAAGGCATTGAGGATAGACGTCGGCCGAGGGGGGAAGGTGGCCAGCATGTTCTTGCTTATCATGCCCGCAATGCTGGATC